ATACGATCATAAGATTTAATCTATCAACAACATTGAAATCTAGAAGGACCACCAATTCTAGCCAACAAACACACATGTAGGATCATTTAGACTAGATCATATAAGTCCCTAAGCATACAATCGAAAACCCTTAGTAATCAACTATGCTATTTGCCACAAATATGAGAACGATCAAACAATTACTGATTTAACCGTCCTAAATAACAATATGCATTTCAACGATCAAATAAATGGCCAATTTACATCAATCAATCAAAACACAATTGGTAATAATCACAAGAGATATATAAATAAAAGAGAATAAGGAATAGAAATTCAATTAGATCTCACAAATCATGAAGAACCAAATCTAGAATAATCCTTTGGCTGGAAAAATAAATTAGTTATCCATAAACATGGGAGAAGTCTCCCAATTATTCATGAAAAATAAAAGAAAAGAAGAAAAGAGAAGAAGAGAAGGGAGGGGGCGTAGGAGAAAAGAAGAGAAAAGATAGATCCTCAATAAATCTAACAGTCTGGTTTTTAATCAAAATCAGTCTAATCCTAATCCTAAGAGATAATACGTAGAAAAAATAATAAAAATTTCATTCTCTTTCATAATATCCTAATAAAATATAATATTCCATAAATAAAGGCTCCTAGGTTTTATTATTCTCTTCCCAACTTGAGGCTTCTTCCTTCTTCCAACTCTTGTAGAAAATTAGCGTGCTCATGCCTTAACACAAATTCGACTCTTTCGCCCTCCAATCATCATAAATTTCAAATTCCGAGATATCCTACCAAAACTATAGAAATCAATTAAAATCAATAATTAAGGTCAAACAAACACCGAAAAAGTATGGAAAACACGGCAATTAACATGCCAATAATACGACTTATCATCTAAATATATTAGTAGTTAGTACTCATCTCGTGCATTTGCACGGAAGAGAATACGTAGAAAAGAAAACAACATAAAAAAAAAAAACATTTCATAATTTAATTCATGAAAAAAATATGAAATAAGAAATGATTTTAAATATTTTTAAACTCTTCTTTATATATATATATATTCATGGTTTCATAACAGAATCACCATCACCACGTTATCATTATCTCCAAACCCTTCTGATTCGTGACTCTAGAAAGAGCAATGTACAATTCTCCATGACTGAAAACATAGTTCGTCAACACTAAGCCGACGTGTGAGAGTTGATCGTCATAGCATATAGGAGACCATGATAGAAATTGTATTTTGTTGAAACTTGAACGATCCCTTAAACAAATACGTAATAATAAAATGTTTGTTAAATTTGCTATAATTGTCATCAAATATAAACATTTGAGTCAAAATTACCTACTGAACAAATAATTGTTTTATAAACAACTGTTAAATTGGGCTGAATAACATTTTAAAAATGTGGTAAATTGGGCTTAATTTTTTTATTAAAAAAATTTATAAAGGTGATGTTGGCCTATATTCTCAGTAAGGCTATTTGTTTAATGAGCCCGATTTGGTGAGGTCCCGAAAAAATAATTTTCAAATTGAACTCAATACACATTTTTTTAACAAAAAAAATAAAAAATAAAAAATAAAAGAATCATGTAATCGCTATTGGACCAATAGACAAATCAATATTTTTGTAACAATAAAATAGGTCCATTATTGATGAAAGCCCATCTCCACTTTAAGGGTTTACAAAACCCCTGACCGAAAAGAGTAACACCGAAAATTCAGTGTCATTCCACTCACTCTCCTTTGTTGTGCATTTTTTCTTTCTCTCTCAGTAAAAAACCCAAATCTTCAAGTTCTTACAAAATTCTCGCCGATAAACATGCCAAATCGATGTTTAACCAGCGAGATTTTCAGTTCAATACCCCTCCCCCCCCCCTCCAAAAAAAAGAACTAAATCCAAAAATTTCAAACCCAAAGGAGATCTAACAACAAAATCGTCCCGATTTTCAAAATCCGTTTACTAAATTATAGTCAAATAATGCAAATTAGGCAATTATAATACATATCTATCAATATCTGAAATTTTTCTAAAGAAATTTACGTTGTTTTTTCTTTCTTTCTTTTTTTTTTTTAACAAAAAAATGTTTTAAGTTGAGGACTGAAGTTGAATCTTTCGGCTATTGGCCGTTTCTTAATAAATACTTCTTTACATTTTTTTTTTCTATAATGTTTAATAGATGTAAGAAGATTCAATGTTTATTGGTTATACCATGAATAATAATGGTAAAAGTTGAACACATTTGTAAAAAGCTGTATTTTTTTTTATTATTTTAAAAAAACGACAGTTTATGATCGATTGCAACAAAAGATCGCTCTCTGGCCGATTTCATTAATTTTAAGGTTACTTAGAGTCATTTTTTTAAAAAAATTTAACATATATAATGCAATCAAATTTAACGTTATTTCTGAATTTTTATGTGTAATTTGTTCTATATTAATTATTTATATGATATAATTTTGGATTTTCGTGTCTTTTGCTGGATATTCTTATGTGTGTTTCATTTGATTTTGTAATTTTAAAATTATTTTCTTGTATTTTATTTTTACGAATCTAAAATATATAATATTAATATATGATACATTAATACGTCATAAAATGATTAAAAGTATAAGTAAAAAATAATATTGTTCTTGATTTCTACATATTGTTTATACAAAACTTGTCAGCCAAAGAAGTTTAGCATGATTTATGCCAGTCTGCCAGATATCTGTTACATATTGAAATGATTAGAGAAAAAAAAAAGCGAAAAAATTAAAATAATAATCTATACTTATATAAAAAGTTATCCTATTTACCAAAATTAGTAGTAAAAAAAGTTAAAGGTAATTATTACATTCTATTTCCATCAAATATTTTATTTAATTATTTTATTTAATTGTTTTATCCCATAACACATTTTCAATACAACTTATCATGATTTTTCTATTGTGATTAAAAACCAGATTTTATATTTAAAATATTTGTGAAATTATTATTATTATTATTGTAATTATAAAGCACATATTATTTGTTAAAAAATTGTATATATATAATACACATTACAGTACCATGATAGATGATTTAAATTTCAACCAAACAAAATGCCAATGATTTAATTTTGAACACACCTATGCGTTTGACCAAATATCTGGATGATTTAAAATTGAGCCCATAAAAAATTATTTAAATTTAAACACACCAGAAATTTTATGTATTTTTTATTTATAAAATATATTGAAAGTGGTTTTTAATGGCCTTATATAAACTATTATAATATATTTGCAATGAATAAAAGTTTGAATAAATAATTTGTAATGTTATTCATTATGTTTGTGACTTATGAGACAGGAACACATAATTCCATACATATTTGTCAGAAGACGGCTTAATAATTTTCATAGATTTCTTTTTATTATGTAATAAAATAATAATTAATTATTATATGGTGAACAAGAATAAGTAAACTATTACTTTCGCTTATATCAATGGATAAATTTATATGCTAAAATTAAATTTTTATAAGTATAAATGTTTTGATGAGATAATATATTAATATTTAATGTTCTGGCTAAAGAAACAACATTGGTTAAAAGATGTGAAAAAAAACTTATAAACCTATTGTTTTTTAAACTTAAATTTGATTAAAAGAGGTAGAAAATAGATAATAACCCTATTACTTTTAGACTTAAACAGAAAAAACTGTGAAAATAACTCATTTAGTATCTCTGTCCCGTGTATCGCACGGGGTACGTACTAGTTTCTGCATGATAGTCACACATTTTCATAACAAATAGATACTTTTTTGAAAAAGTCAAAGAAAATGTTACATTATGTGGAGTTGAATAGAAAAAAAAAATACATATTAAATTTGTTGTTCTGTAACGACTTTAGACGGAAAAGCGAAATAATATAATTTAATGCTGGTTATAATAAAATTAAATATTGTTGCTCCAAATTATATATTTATAGAAAATATATCTTTCTAGCATCAGATAAACTTCACATGCAACCGCATATTTATTTTGTTCAAAAGTTAATTAATACTTATGTGAAGTTAAGAGATTTTATCTAACAGTTGAAAAAAAAAAAAAAATAACATAATAGAAGAAGAAGAAAACAAATAAACAATAACAAAAGAAGGTATGGTAGCAGGTGACACAAAGAAGAACATATAGGGAAGTGAGAAAGAGAAAGATCAAAGCTAGGAACTTTGGAAACCAAGACTCAACAAGTGTAATTCCTATCTGTCTCCAAAGCCAAAGTATAAAGAATAACAGAAATCAGTAATTGAAAAAATCCCCATAGTATAATATTTGACACACAAAAAAGTTAATCAGTCTTTGTATTGTAGACTGGAAACACAATCTTCCCCACCCACCCCTCAATTTCTCTTTCCCACTCTTATTTCACATTCTCCTCAAAGAATAAAAAAGAAAAAAAAAAGGAAAAGCATAGGAAATAATAATTATAATAATATAATTTTGGTCAAAAATACCCCATATATATATCCACCTCACCATCCCATTCCAACATGGACAAATTCTAAAAATTCTCACATTCTCCATTCCATCACTCTCTCTCTCTCTCTCTTTGTCAATCACCCCAGCCTAGAAGTCATACATTTGTCACAATACACGGCAGAGACAAAAA